GGGGGGGGATTAAAAGGGCATGTTTATTACTTTATTTGGTGGTTGGAGCATGAGGGGTCGTTCCACTTGCCAAACAATTAAAAGGGGGTCGCGGATTGAAAAAGGTTGAGAACCACTGATATAGCTGAAACTCTTTTTAGGTATACTAATTAATCTGAGATGTTGGGGGAGGGGCATGTGTATGAAAAGACACACAGTAACTCATTAGCTAAGCTTATGTGAACAAGAAATAACATTATGTGAACAAGAAATAACATTTCCACTACCTATCCTACAAAAAAAAAAGTTAAATCAAAGTTGAAGTACTACTAGTAAATCAGTCTAAGTGATCTTAAAGAAACCTCCATAGTTCTTTTCAGTTGTACCCAAAATCGTTGAGTTCTAATCGTGAGTGGGGAAGTTATCGAGTGTCTGTCTTTCTGCTGACAGGCTATATCTCCCTGAGTCTGGGTTGCTCCTGACAGTCAGGTCAAAGTAGCCTGTCTGCTCAGTAATCTAAATTGTGTCAGTGGGGGCTTAAAGCATTTAAAAGTTACTAGCAAGCAATCATTAAAAAATCTAATGTTAAAAGAAAATAACATCAACAGATTGGCATCTGCAGCCATAAACAGTAAAACCCCTTTATACAGTTAAAAATAGCATCGACTGCCCGTCAGCAGGGAAACTAATTCTGTGATTAGTAGATAAAGGACAATTTCATAATGAGAGGCTATTACTGCCTTTTGTTTAACAGCAGCAAAAATGGATAGCAATTTCCTTTTGTTACTTTGAAGGCCATGCTTTAAAATACAGAGGTCTCCGCTTTAAATAAAATCTGCAGGACTACCAGATTTTCTTCGGTTTAGCCCCTCTTTTTGGAGTAGAGGTTGTTCTAATAGAAGAAAAAAAAAATTGGGGATTTTATTTTCTTTCTGTTCACAGCTGTTTTCGGATCAACTGCTGTCTTCAATTTGAACAGAATCCACTGTATTTGCAAATTTTTGCTTTTCCTGAGCGGTCAAGCATGGAAGAGACAATATGTGGCCAACCGAGCTTTATCTAGATCTATTTCACATGATTGTCATGCATAGGGGAAAAACAACTAGCACCCTATTCCATGTACAGCTTCAATTACTTAACTCACTCGCTGCCGGCACCTTAGCTCAGAAAAAGCCGATGCCTGCCAGCTTTTTTAAACTTTTTTTCTAAATCCAGTTACTCTGTACCTATTTATGTTAGATTTATGAAAATTGGCCAGTTTCAGAAGGAGATGTGGAGCTTTACAGACCAGAAAGAATTTTGACCCTATGTTATTTTGTTCATGTTTTATAGCTTTTCAAAAAACGACACATTTTGTGGGACTAAAACTTTGTTTTTTCAGCCAAACTTGCCAGTCCAATTTGTCGCTGTTTTTGTGAGAGCGTTGCTGTTTTTGTCCTAAAATACACTCAAAAATATATATAACAAAACCAATGAAACTAAATTGATAAGTTTATGTCAAGCGTCACCACTTGAATTATTAGTCGTCGTACTAGACTCTAGTACTAGATCTAGAATCTAGTATTAGTAGTCCTAGCTCCGACAGCTGTCGACAGGTGATCTACCTCTTTTTCTCTCATCTCAAACTACCATCACTACCATTATTTTGCACTTCATCATATGAATCTGAGTTCATCGAATCATATGGACTCAGAATCTCTAAAATTACGAGCCGTTTTCAATTAATATCGGCATGAGCATTGGCGTTTGGTCGACTTCGGCCGCCCAACGGCAAAACAAAACCCAGAAATAGAACAAATGGAACTCCCGTTCCAAAAATAGGCAGAACTTCAAGGAAAATCATTCTAATAAAGTGAAACTGCTCTGAGTGGTCAGAGGCATGTTATTCTAGTAATTGGGCCTTGCCGTTGCCGCATATGTGTCTGCAAACAAAAAAGAAAGAGGAAAATATGCGACTGACAGGGGCGCGGTAGAGGCAGTGAGTGGTCGTTGCCTATTGACCGACACAGGTGCAGCAATGATGGTGAGTGAGTTAAATTCAAATTGATAATTTGTTCTGGATCGGAAGCTAGGCTGTGTATGTCAAAGTCCCCGTAGATGTACGATTTCTTGACCTGATATGTCTGTCAGTCCTTGGGCTCCCTCAGATCTGTCAAGTGCATGAATCCTCCTGAAATAAAAGCCACATAGGATCTGCCAGACTTGAGGTCACCAGGTAATGTAAAATATTTTGCCAGCAGCCGAAGATGGCGCAGTTCCTTGGAAATTTCTTCAGGCATCTTAAAAATTCAATTTCAATTTTTGAAGAAATATTGACCACAGCCAAAAAAAAATACCATTTTCATGCAGAGTACATCAAAATTAGTAAGAATCATGTGAGGCGTTTATTTTATGAAGTTGAATTACGAAATTATGTTTATTCTGAAATTGTACACTTTTCTCCAACACACGAAACATTGTGCATTGTAATGTGTTCACTTGCATCACACCAGAACATAGTATATCTATCCTTATTTTTTGTCTGTATCCAGAGATCTGTATCTATTTTTGTGTTCACTCCTTTATATTGTTTGTGTGTATCCCTTCAGCTTCAAACATTTTGGCTGGGTTCTACTTAATTGTGCACGCACTGTCTTCTATCCAAACTGGTCCAAGGACTGACAAGTAGGGTAAAAAGAAAAAGCTGAACATCTCACATGAAGCCTGAAATCAGCAAGACATGGGTGGGGAGGTGGGATGTGTGAGGAAAGGTAGCAAACCGACAACAAGAGCTAGATCTTGGCCAAGCTTGCAGAATCACGTTTGGGAGAGAGATTATCAGGCAGCCACCGACTGGGTACCATGCACCAAGTGTAGTGCGTGTTGCTCTGGCAGCCATTCACTGACGGTACAGCGGGGCAAATTGACATTAGTTTAGTAAGGACTGTACAACTCAGATAGTTGGCAGATACCAGATGGGAGTAGATATAAATGTATTTTCATACAATGCTAAACCCTGTTAGTAAGTGGGGCTGGGGGTATAACGAAAGCTGGTATAAAGGGGTTTGACTATATCTGCAAAATCTATTTGACAGCCTAAGATAACTTTGTTGTGTGAAAAGACACTTAGTCTTTAGAAACCCCCTGTCTAGCAGTTGTAATATAAGGGAATTCAAGGCCAGAGCAGCTTTCACTTTACATGTAACCAAGGCATGATAACAGACATCCTATACTGGAAGCAGCAAGATTTGTAAAGAAAAGACAAAACTATAATGTGGTGATGAAAGATTGGAAAATACAAAACTGAGAAAAAGAAATCAATAAAACTTACGGAGGGTCTATAGTCAGCAATCAACATAGCATATCCTCCACCTACACAAGTGGCAATACCACCAACATTATCTTTGTCTACATCAGGGTGTGAGTACAGCAGGTCATAAGCTTTCTGAAATGAAAAAGCATCATATTTTATTTACATCAAAACTACCTTAATAATTCTCATGGTCTTGGCACAATTGAAGTTGTTAACACAATTGAATTTTCCTTTATCCTTATCCAAAAATGTAAATGTTATAATTGCAATCAAATGAAGAAACATTCATTTCAAAATGTGAAGTACAAGTTCTGTCTGAAAAGTAAAGTGAAGATGGTCACAGAATAAATAATTACTGTATAGATCTAAAAAATAACTATATAATATAAATATACTAGCACCCTTCAGCTTCTTCTAAACATAGGCCCCATGAAGATTGACACATCATTTTCCAGTAGCTGATCCGAGAATGTACCCCATCCTTTAAAAATTCTGATCAAGAGAATGCAGCCAATATTGAGTGTAGTAACATCTTCAAGTCATACCTATAAGCTTCGTCTTTAGTCAGATTTGTTGTGCACTATAATTTGCACACAAATTCTTCAACTCGCCTTTTTGAAGGCCATTTTGAGAGTGACAATGAGACAAACAATGAACACTAATTACTCACTTAATTTCCCTGGATGAGCACAGCACAGTTTACTAGTGTCTAAAACTAAAAATACCTTAAGATCTCAAATTAAGTGCAAAACTCTAATATTTTGAGGGTGCGGTGGCGGAGCGGTTAGGGCGCTCGTCTCCGAAGCCGAAAGTCTGAGTTTGAGCCTCGGTTCAAACACGGATTTTTCTCGCCCCCTCCTGCCCACCCACCCAGCAGTAATGGGTGCCTGATTTAGAGTTAGGGAAGTATAGGTGGCATGGAAAGGAACTGGCTACCCTACCACAATATGCCGAAGGCTCAGGAAATTGTCTCACTAACAAGGCAATCCCCAATATCCGGATCGGATGCGGGAACAACTTTTTTCAAATTCCAATATTTACAGTTGAACCTGTCTAAAATGGCCACTCACCGTTGAGGAGAAAAGTGGCTGTCCTAGACAGGTGGCCATCTTAGGCAGGACTGATGAAAAAGAAGAAAACACACCATTCCCTTCTAAGGTTCCAACTGGGTGTGCTCAGAGGCTTATGACTTTCATAAAACTCATTCTCTGCCCATTTTTTACCCTACTTTCAACGGTTTTCTTTGTGCACCAGATAGTGAATGATAGGTGTGTATGTCTGAGAAGGATTTTCATAAGTAAGATGAAATAATAAGTACGCAGTGTGATACATATTTTGAAAGGTAATAAAAATGTAGCATTGAAATGTGTTTAAAAAATATGTGATGAGGCAATGTACATAATTGATACTTGTCAGAGAACACGTACATCACAGGGGAGCTAATAAAAAGACAGACTTAATTTAATACTTTGAATATAAATAATGAAATTTACATTTCAAAATAACATCCCTGCTTTCATACAATGAATATTACATTCAATTCCCTGCATGTTCATGCAAAAAGTCATGAAATTGTACAATTCTAGCAGAGTTCACAATCAATTTTGTAACATCACTGTGAGAATACCAAAAGTTGTAATGAATCAGAATTTGCCCAAGCTGCATTTGTATCATGTCCAAGTCTAGATTTAGATTTAGACCTCTATGTCAAGATCCTCTCGATTTTCACTTCTCTTGGCTTTTTTCCCCTTTCATTTCCCAACACATCTTCAACTATCGTCTTTGCTGTCACTGTAAATTTAGATCTACAAATTGTCTTTTTTTCATACAGAGGAAACCTGATATAACAGGGATGGTGGAACCAGAGAAAAAGTCCTGTTATATCAGATCCCTGTTAAATCAGAAATGCAAGGGAAGTTAGAATTTATGGACTAATCCAGCTGTATTCATTCATGGGTAGTTTCCCTTGCCACAAGTACCTGTAGCCCTCTCTCGTGGCCATGCGGCAGGCCTGTGCATGACACAATACGCGTGTATGTAGCTAGCTTAAGGCTAGATCGACGTCTGCAGCACACCGCAGCCCTCTCTCGCTTCACCCGCAGCGTGTGCTTGCAGCAGTGTGGCTTGAGTGGGCTTGCTCCATCACTGCGTTACTCTCTCTCTCTCTCTCTCTCTCTCTCTCTCTCTCTTACTTTTTACACAATGTGAACGAGCCTTTGTCCCTGCTATAACCGATTATCAAGGCCACAAACGCACACAAACTCAAGCAGACTGATGCACACACACTTGGGCTATGTGATTGCGGATCCGACTCGGGACCCGAATTCAAGGGGAGATGGTTCTCGGCACGCGTGCGCTGAGCCAGGGGTTAGACTGACGCGGGACCAGAACGCAAGGGAGGTGCCGAAATAGGCTTATTGGGCGAGGGTTAAAGACTGTTTGGCCATAAAGGCCTACTGCATGGCACATCTCAGACTCTTTCAAAAACTGGTTTTCAGTCTTAGCTAATTTCAAAGATTTCAGATTTTCAGTTCATCTTTTGATGACACAGTAAAAAGACTCCTTAGTGTAAAATGGTTTGACATTTTGACAATGACAATCTTTATTCATCTCGAAGGGAGAAATTTGTTTTGCTCATTAACAATGGCAGTAGACGTTACAAAAGTTAGACCTAAAGGTGCACTCACGCAAACGCACAACAAGACAGGACATTAGGTCAAGTAAATACATGTCTCACGTGCTGGGACACCCCGCTCCGTAAAACATTCTCTCTCTCTCTCTCTCTCTCTCTCTCTCTCTCTCTCTCTCTCTCTCTCTGTGATATTTTACTAAATAATTTACCAAAAAGTAATTAAAATCCAGATCAACTTCACTTTCTGGCAGGTCCATATGCCTCACATAGGCAATGCTGAAAGCTGCATACCCTCGGGAAGCAAGTAGGGCTGATCGATGTTCCATGATGCCACCCGTCAAGCCAAAGACATCAATGAGAGCAGGAAAAGGGCCCTTCCCTGAAAGATAGAAAAGAAATACAAGCATAAAAAAAAAAAATACTGCCACACCCCTGATTTTAGGGTAGGTAATATCAAACACTCTGTCAAGGGTGAAAAATCTAGGAGGTCCTGTATGCAAGCTATGCACGTTAAAGATCCCTTGGTGGTCCTAAAATTGATAAGAGCAGGCTTCGACCACCATCTGTGAAAAATCAAACATAATACCTACTAAAACTCTGGTCAGCGTTTATAAAATATAAAGTACAGCCAAATCTTGTTGTACCGTACTCTGTTATACCGCCAGCCCCACTTTCCTCCAGGTTTGCCTATGTGCGAAAATTGTCCCCTATATAAACATAGTATTGGCACCTTTAGACCGCCATCTGTCAATTGTCTCATTTGTACGGTCCTTATTAAACTACTGTAAATTTACCCTTTTGTACAGCTAACGAACTGGCCGCCAGAAGTACAAAGTACAATCTAGGCTACACACGGTGCACGGCACATCCACTTGGTGGTTGCTTGACAATATTTCACACACAAGTCTACAAGCTAGACCTAGGTCTAGATGAAACGCTTTTCACCGATTCTCTCCCATCCAGCCCATCCCACCTCCCTACCCTTGTCTTGTAGATTTCAGACAATATATGGATAGATCTACTGTGATGCAGTGTGTCGCAAGCAAACACAATTCATGTGTTATGTAGAAGAGCACAATTAAAATAAATCAAAACTTTTAAATTCAGCATTAGTTAAAGATGAATAACTTCCTTCTGTGATGTTATTGAACTTGCTCTTTATTAAGATTCAAAGGGTGAAATCCTTTTCCACAACATGACAAATATATTGAACACGACAATTTGAACTGTAACTAAAAGGTACGGACAATGAGAATGGATGTAATGCCCGATTACTAATGGGGCTGAAATTATCTTAATGTTAATTAAACCAATTAGCTTCAAAGAGACCTTCATGGTGCCATCCATAGGATGATGTTATTGTGACACTTCGGTCCCTTGATCCTTACACACACACCTATTCTTAGTTAAACATGGATACAAGCATCATGTATGAAAGATGATTACAAATTACAGTGCGAATGGATGTGTATTGTTCCCTTCCCCCCTAAGTTCAAATGTTATGGGATGTGTATGGTCGGAGTGAGTGGAAAAGGATGATGGACAATCTGAGGAAGGGTGAGAGATGAGTTCATTTAATATCTATCTATCTCCCTCTCCCGGGGAAAAGTTTTATAGGGTACGTTTAAAACTGATGGCTCAGATGATCCGTCAATGGAAAGTGAAATAAATGGAACGAAATATTACAGAGCAAAAGATTATTGAAAGGTTCATGAGACACCGGACAAATCAATGCAAAAGGATGAGGAGGAAAAGTAAGAAGTCAAGAGGAAGTGAAGGATGTTTTGAGGATAAGAATGAGATGGATCAAGTAAATTAAGGGGACTGAATATAGCTAAATTTAGAAATCCGATCTACCAACTGCCGGTGCCAAAGCTGCCTTGTAAGGAGCAAAAGGGAAATACAAGAGTTGCAGCGTATGAATACAATAACCACTTAATAGTAATAGTGTCAACTGTTATGTATGGTTCAGTATTTAGTAATGTCATTCTTTCTGTGACAGCGGGGTCCCAGGGGGCGTTGCTCTAGCTTCCCTGGCTTGTTGTGGGGGAGCAGACGGGCTAGTGCTGCCGGGAGTTTCTTGTGAGTAGGTGAGGCTGATGACCTGTCACGGATTTCGGGTTCTGATGCCAGCTCAACAGGACTGTCAGGTATAGCCACTGGCTTGGCAGGGCTGTCAGGCACAGCTACTGGCTCGGCTGGGCTGTCGGGTGAGGCTGGTCCTGTGTCAGGTGTGTCGGGGCTGTCCGGCAGGACGGAAGTTGATTCTGGGTCATGCCGCTGAAGCTCTCCTGGGCCGTTTCTTGTTGGGACTTCTCTGGTGGTGGTGACGGCGATACTTGGGAGTCAAGGTCGGGGCCTTTTTGCTGACAGGCTGATTGTGGTGTGATTGGGGTTATGCCAGTGATGACCGTAGACGTTTTGTGGAAGGGCGTGAATTTCCTCAGGTGCTGTCTGTTTCTTAGCGTAATTCTACCTGACCCGTCGACACGGACGACGTACTGGTGAAATTGCCTGACTTCGGTGACAACACCTGTCCTTTCCCATTTCCTTGGATGGTTACCCACAAGGTTTTGCACATACACATGGTCCCCCACTTGCAGTTGTGGCAGCATGCGCGTATGTTCGATCCACTTTTCATGGCTTCGTGAGTGCCTCTTAGCAAGGGCCTTTTCTCTGTACATGAGTGTTTCTTGCCACGTATTGTGGGGGCAGTACCGACCCATTGGGATGGGGATCGCATCCCTAATTGGTCGACCAAACAGGATAAGAGCAGGAGATGATCTGGTCTCAGTGTCAATCGTGTTTCTGTACATCAGCATGGCGCGTTGGAATTTGTCGACGTCCAGTGACCTGGCTGGGCCAGTGTTATCCATCAGCATGCGTTTGACGGTTTTGACTGCAATTTCTGCTCTACAGTTGCCGTGTGGATTTGCCACAGATGTTAGCCTGTGGTGGACTCCCCAAGATTTCAGGAATTCTTTTGTCTTGCCTGATGTGAACTGTGGCCCACCATCTGAGGTTAATTCCTCTGGGACGCCGAAGGTAACAAATGTCTCGCGTAAACGTGCGATCAAGCCCTCAGCACCTGATTCTGCTCTGAACACCATCGGCCAAGATGAATATCTGTCAACAATGACAACATAGTCTGTGTTGTTGTACGAAAAGTAGTCGCTGCATATTTTCTGGAATGGGTAGTCAGGTGGTGTGACATCAATTGGTGGCTGCATTGGGTTTGATGTTGCTGCTCTGTTGCAGTGGGTGCATTGATTTCTTGTTCTGGTAATATCAGCGGTGATGTTCGGCCAGAAAACTGAATCTGCTGCCCTTGCACACATTGCACCTACACCTTGGTGCGCTGCATGGAGTGCGTCGAGGATGCTTCTTTGAAGTGAGACAGGAATGATGATTCTATGGCCCATGAGGATGACACCATCGACGCAAGACAGGCCAGCTGCATATTTGTGGTATGGGCGCAATTGTAGGGGGAGGTCTTTGCACTGATCTGGGACACCATCATGGATCAAGTTGACCAGTTCTTGCAAGGTTGGGTCAGAGGCGGTAGCCTCCCGGACCATGCTCCATGTAACAATGTTTGCTACTGACCGCAGTGTGTCCGTGGCAGCCAGAACTGTAGAATTGTCCTCTGCAACGTCGATGTCGGACATTTGGGGATTGGCCGATTCTGGGGTGATGACTGGATATCTTGATGCAGCATCAGGACCTTTATTTTTGTGGCCTGGCACATGGACGATGTTGAATTTGTAAGCTAGTGTCTTCTCCTTTAAATTCAGCAGCCGTCTGTTCGTGATTTCTGTCAGTGACCTGTCATTCAAGATTCTCACTAGCGGTTTGTGGTCTGTTGTCACAGTGAGGTCGGTGCAACCTTGGATGTAGTAACGTGTTTGATGTAGTGCGTATGCCACAGCCAGAGCCTCTCCTTCAATTGGGGCGTATCTGCTCTCGGCTGACGTCGTGAATCGACTCCCTGCAAGGCACAGTTTCCATCCATCATGGCAACAGTCAGGGTTTCTTGTAGGACACTGACAATATTTTTGTCGTAGCAAGAAGCCGACACCGTGCACCGAATAGTCAGTCGACAAGCATGTCGGCCGCGTGGGGTCAAAAAGCCGGACACCATCCTTCATTTCGTTGATGATTATTTCTTTGGACTTGGTGAAGGCCAGGTCCAGTTCGTCTGTCCACACAAATTGTGTTGATGGTTTCAGCAGGTGTGGGAATGGCTGCATTTGCTTGGTCATACAGAATGCATAGGCGCCCTGGTTTAACAGCCCGAACCATGCACGGGCGCCAGTGATGTCACTTGGTGTTGGGAAATGTTTGATTGTGTCAAGGAATTTGGAGCTAGGTCTGACGTTTGTCGGTGTCACTGTGAGGCCAGCGAATTCCACTGTGTCCTGTGCGAACTGAAACTTCTTGGGGTTCAGAGTTATTCCGTTGCGAGCACATAGGTCCAGCCAGCTGCATGTCTGGTGGAATGCTGATTCGATGCCGTCTGCCCACATGCATGTATCATCAACACATTTGACCTTGTTTTTAAAATTTGATATGATGGCATCAAAGCGCTGATTGTAGCCATCTCCACTTACCAGGAATCCCTGGGGGGCCACTTTGTACCTGTATCGTCCCCACTGCGTGATGAAAGTTGTTATGTGTCTGTCTTCTTCTCGGATTGGCACCAAGTGGTAGCCATTCCAAGCATCAGTTACCGTTTTCTTTGTATTCTGTGGTATCCTGTCTGCCAAGTGGAATGGGCTTGATACATGATGAGTTTGTCTCACAGACTGGCGGTTTTGTGGTTGTAAGTCCACAGTGCGCCTTGGGGTGCCGTCGGCCTTGGCAGTGACGACCATTCGGGAACACCAGGTGACCGGTGTGTTTGGCTGACTTTTTCCAAGACACCAATTTGTACGTCTCTGTCTAAGTCTTTCAATACCTGTTCTTGCCAGTGAATGGGTACTAGAGCAGGTTTGTGGACTGCCACCGGCTTTGCATCAGGGTTGACATGTAGCTGGAGTGGCTCACATTTCATCATGGGGAGGGGTTGGTGCTCACAGATGTTGAATGCAGTGCCGCCATAGTAGTCCAGGAGCCACTGTTTCAGTGCTGGTATGTTGTCGTCTGTGGCTGACATTCCAGGTGGCAGGCTTGTAGGTATGGGAGGTGGCTCTTGGCCACGCGTAGGGCATGAGCATGTTGATGGTGCAGGGGTTTCGATGGAGGCTGTGAAATCTTGTGGCCAGGAAGCTGGGACACTTGGGAAGTTGGCAGGAATGGCTCCGAGTGTGACGAGGGCTTCCCTGCACAAAAAGGCCTTTTCCATGATTGCCGAGACGTATATCATGATTTTGGTTGATCTGGTGGCTCCAGAAGTGTCTGATGTGCTGACATTTGCGATTATACCTCCTTCGACCCCCAGATCTTCCTTGATGGCACCACACATTGTCAGTTTGACGGGTATTAAGTCAGTGTGGCTGATACCCATGGCGAGAGCTGATTGTAGAGGAATGATAGAGCTCTGGCAGCCAGAGTCAGCGACCATGGGTAATGTGATTGAGGAAAGCTTGGATTTGTTGTTCATTGGGAAACCCAATTCGGCATGGTCCTCAGGTAGGGGCGTTAGCTGAACAGTCATGATTGGGTGGGGCTTGGAAGGGCGAGATATCCATGCTCCATCGTATATGTGGTGCTCTAGAGGTTGCATGCCATTTGCACAGGGTGCCTTGCTGTGAGTGTGACTCACACACAGCTGGTCGTAAATGTGGCCAATGTCACTGTCGTGTGCCTGTGAATGCAGGTTGTCTTCTGTTCGCATCATTCGACTGCTTGGATTTGGCCTGTTGCTTTGACCACAGAATTTCGAGGTCTTGTCGCGATGTCCCCATTTCCCACAGGAGGTGCATCTGGAGCATGATGCTGTGAAATGGCCTTTCACTGAACACTTTGCACATGTGTATGACCAGGCTTCACAAGCTCTTGACCGGGCTGCTCTGTCGTTCTTTTGACCATGGCTGGGGCCACCGCACGCCCAGCACTTCCTGCCTGGTGTGGCTTGTGGTTTCGTCTTAGGTGGGTGGCTCATGGCGCCGGAACAGTCACCCACTGCAGTCTTGGTGGCCTTCCCTTGTTCTTTCTGTGCGATGAAGGTGACTGTTTCTTCAAGGGTTCTGTCCGTCTTTGAGTCTCCCATGAGGTCGGATAAGATCTCTGGGTCTGCGATGCCTCGGATCAGGTTGTCTTTTATAATTTCGTCACTGTAGTTGAATGTATGTGTGCAGTTGGGTTCCCTGCATCGAGCCGTATATTGGCAGAGAGATGCCTGTCCCCTTAGGCTTGCTAGGAATGTCCTTATTCCTGTTCCAGGTGACTGAGTCATTTTACTCAATTTGATGCGATGGACTAAGGTGCTTTCCTCTTTCACCGCTAGTCTCCTGATGGCTGCTAGGAGGTCCTCCTCTGTCATTGTCGAGACATCATCACAGAGATCACGCATGATATCGGTGCGCAAGTCTTGGCTGCAACAGTAGAAGAGGGCTGTCGGTGCCATGGTGCTAGAGATGGCCATTCCTTTTTTATACATAGTCCACTGTCTTGTAAATGCTGACCACTGGTCGGGGTCACAAGCTGCTCCTACTTGTGGGGGATCCAGTTTCACTTTGGACGGGGGTACTGTTCCGTGTGCCGTCCTGTCATGCATTTTTAATGCTGTTGACAAAGCGTCGGCGAATACAGCATCAAGGTCCTGTGATTGCCAGGTACAGCCGTCAACTGGGCACGTTAATTTCGGCATGATGGAATTAAGTCAGTTGTTTAGCCAGCTACTGGGGTGAGGAGATGTTGGGATTTGGGGTAAATGCAGTTACGGGGTGGCTAGTGAATGATGGTAGTAATAATCAATGATGATTAGGATTTCATGCACTTTTTTCAAGTTGTGTTTCTTCATTGATGGCTGACTGGATTATGACGCAAAAAGAGATTGTCCATCATAGTTAAAGATGAATAACTTCCTTCTGTGATGTTATTGAACTTGCTCTTTATTAAGATTCAAAGGATGATGGACAATCTGAGGAAGGGTGAGAGATGAGTTCATTTAATATCTATCTAAGCATCAAGTTTCCCTCCCCATGTGAATGCGACTAAATTTGGTGTGCTGATTATGAAAATGCTATTCTATTTAGGCTTTGGTCAACATAACATAAGAAGATGGAATTAAATTTTAAAGTCGACCGGAGAAACTTTAAAGGAACCTCACCATTTTGGACAGCGGCATAGTATCTGGTTTTGCCAGATATCAGCCCAATAACTTACAGGCTGGAGAATGCCCGTGGGGATTTTATTCAGTGAGGACTCGCGCTCAAGTCTAAGTGACAGATCGAAGGGAGGTAATTCATTACTTCATATAGTGATTGGTAAACAAGTTCCCTTGGCGTTCGACATCAGTGCTACATGTATCTAAAAGAGGACAAGAAAACCTTGTTATACTGCCAGCCCCGCTGTACCGCCACCTTCATGTTCATCCCAAAGTAGGCGGTATAACAGGGTTTGACTGTACCTTCCAAATCAGAATATTGTTGTCTTAAGGCAAGGTGCTGTACGTAGTACGAAAAATGGTAATATATGTACAAATCAGTTGCACTGCAGGTTGAAGAACCAGCAGCCAACTATCCCTGAGATCTTGCAGGAGAACGGAAAGGAGAAGAGAGTCACTATAATATATATGTTGACACAGATGTCATACCTGGGGGCAAAAACAATGTCCCATAGACACCATTTTCTGCAATAGGAATACGCCGAATTCCATCAGCAGCATACGTTCTTTCAAGCATGGTAGAAACCATGCTTGGAGCATCTGCTGACCATTGAAGTTGTTCAAAGTCCATAAAACCATCTTGAACAGAAACCATGACATTGAAAGGCTTCATGACATCTGCTTTGGTCAGTCGCCCAGGCTTCACACCAGGTGTAGTCTTCAAACTCCAGAACAAACCCATTGGTTCCAATCCTGTGAGTTAATACATAAGCAATATAAATATCATCAAACACATCATTACTAGACAACTTACAATGTAAAGTAGGCCTACTCTTTCTTGTTTCTCCAGATTTTATATATGATTATATAATAATATCACCCTTAGACAATAGAGTTGGAAGCATGGGCACTTAGCCGAGAGGGAAGAGAAAACAAAAAGAAAAGAGGGAGAAAAGACAGCTGAGACACAAAAATAGTATCACATGTGAACACCAGAAAACAGAAGTTCAATTTTGGGATCACAATATTTGAAGGATACAAAATGCACTGAGTCTTTTCAAAACCCTCCATTTTCTAAAAGTCTTCGGTAAAAAGTAATAAAATCCATGGTATTTGGATACACACAAATACACAAGTACACACACTCACATTTTTAAAGATTTATTATTTTACCTGTGTATGTTCCACCAACAGAAGATCTTTCAAATGTGTCAACTTTGCCTGTATCGTTGGCAACATAGTGACTGCATGCTCCATAAGTCTTGTCACCTTCTTCCAGAAATATTTGTAAAGTTATTGGTTGTCTCTGTTTCAGTCCATTGACAACAATTCTCACAGGATCATCAATAAGAGCCTTTGATGAAGAAAGTTCAATTTGAGGAGCTGAACTGGATAGGCAGGCTGAAGACTGCATGGAAAAAAAATATTCAAATAAATAACATTTATATATTTATATATATAGCCCAAAGCCCCATTCAACAGCAAGCTCTATGAGCTTTACAATCTATATAATTACCCCACCAGTTCCTAGATCACTAACAAACATTGTCAGCTTCCTGAGAAACATACACTGCAAGCACTGATTATAACCAGGTACGCATTATTCCCACCTACCTAGGTGAAGTGAGGAAAATTCATGTAAAGTGCAATCCCATGGACACAATGTTGGGCCTCTGATGGGGTTGAAACCCATAATCTTTCAGTTGCAAGCCCAACAAACTAGCCACAAGACCACTGACATCAAGATCAAGCTATCAGTTATGCCCAGGTGACAACAATAACTGCATGGCTATAAGTTGAAGCAAGGGATGAATACAGATTGTAAATACATATATATCGTATTAGGTTAATTATTATAACGAACACTTCCCCAGTTACAATGTCTTTCATCAGACAAAACAACAATGTTTCTGAACTGGAATTTGGTGTTTCAATACAATTAAAGTTAAAGGTACCTGTCCACTTGACGGTCTACCATAATAATGCATTTTCTATTGTAAGGCCTTCCAGGGTAATTTTAACCATCTATGTAAAATTTCATACTTAAAAATGAGAAGAATTGCTCACATAAGGAAATTTCTTAGCACTAATGCCACCAAAAAACTAGTGTTTGCCTTCATTTTGTCACGCATTGATTATTGCAATTCACTGTTCACTGGCCTACCCGAAGAAAAAATTGCAAAACTCCAACGCATTCAAAACAATGCTGCC